TTACGGCTTGCATTTAGAGAGCCTTGCTATTGACAACCATCACTCGGCTGAAGAAAGTGGAAATTGAAACCTTCGTGAATATAAGACGCTGCAAATATAGGACACCTGTCACTGACGTCGGGTTATCTTGGGCCGTCTTTTTACATTAGATCACAATTCCGGTATTTAACCCTGGCCGGACCGATTGGTTTTCTATATTGACCGGGGAGGGTTGGTACAACTCCCTCGCCGTTTCGCCTCTAATTGAGCTAGAGCCTCGCGGAAAAAACAAGCTCGTGTGCCGTTATAAGACGCAACAATTAGGTACTACCCGATTTCAACCCTCGCCGGCACAGGCCATTTTGAGTCCTTCGACGGCACAAGGGGGGGGGGGTTGGTACGACCCCCCCCCCTCGCGTTTGGCCCCTGATCGAGCTAGAGCTTCGCGGAAAAACGAGCGTGTTGCCCGTCACGAGAGGAAGCCGATGATACCCAATTTTAAGGTCCTAGGTAATCGGGTGACCTTCCAGGTCAGGTCAATGACCCGAAAACCGGGAAAATCGGGACCTGTTAGAAAGTCGTAAAGTGTGGCTGCTATGTGGTTTTCCGGGGTGCTGATCACGAATATCGTGTTAGTTTTGATCAGAGATGATGTCTTTAAGCATTTAGACCAGGTCGGGTCAGGTCAGGTCAGGTCAACCGGTAGGGGTTGTGACGGGTATTCGTAATACGTTTCAACCGCCTCGGACAGCTTCGTAACATGTTACGAAGGCACCAAAACTACTTCGTAAATGTTCAAATGGTTGCTAAATTCGAATTCAGCTCCAAAAACTAGCCTAGAAACATGTAAAACTCGAAAAAGTGAACCGAGGTCACCCGAGGTCACCAAAGGTCAATGACCTGACCTGACCTTCAGGTGACCTTGACACCCACCCTAATGCATGGGAGCAACATCAAATCACATGTTTGAACGTTTGAGACCACGAAAAGCTTGCAAACGCGCGGCTAATGTGAGCCGACATGCGCCGAACCGCGATTTCGGCCAAACATGGTCACAGAAAAGAGGTCACAGGTCAAAGGTCATTGGGGTCAGGGTCATGAAATTTTCAGGGTAGGTGTAAAATTGATCAATGCGAGGGTACTGAAAGTTTCGTCGCGATCGGCCGCTTTTTACGCGAGTTATTCGCGAAAAACCTTAGGAGGGTTGCATCAACCCCCCCTGTGCCGGCGAGGGTTAAGGTCTTAGGTCAGGTAAGTGCCACAAGGCACGGGCTCGGTTTTAGGTTAATTACTTTGCCAAAAAATAGTCGCACTGCCGCGATTTTGACATCATCGTGTTTGTCTAGCTCAGGCGCGTTGAATGCTATACTTGGTGTTCGGGTGAAGTCAGCTTAAGGTGTTAACCTCGGGTCAAGGTCAGTTCGGAGCCCCTCAGGTCACGAAAATGGTTGAAGGAGGTCATATCGCATATCATTCGATTCGGCAGGTCTTCCTGAGTCCAATGGTGGCTTTCCCGACTCTCTAGCTCCATCTGATCAGGAGTTATTGACGAAAAACTTATATGGCCTTAGTGACGTCATAAATGTCGTCACGCAAAGTCAACAATGCTTAAGTGAAGCACTGGACCTTGCAAGGAGTGCATGAAACCATTCCCGGTCCCCGAATAGAAGCTCCCAATTTCCCTTGTTGACTTAAAGTGGTGCTAGATCCTGTATTATGCTCAATTATGACGTCATAACTTAACAGATTCACGTCATATATTTAGTGCTTGACATGCAAATGATAGCTTACATATGACAGAGAAGGTATGCAAAGTTTTATGAAGTTTGCTTCACTAGTTGTGGAATAACAAGCAAAAAACTTTTGCGGAAAGGCCGCTGGCCTCTCGCTGGAGCGTTTCCGACCAGTGTGCGGTGGGGGCGGCGACGAAAAGTGCTGACCGGGGGGGGGGGAGGGAAAAAACAGCAGTGGAAAACGTGTTGACGGGGGGGGGGGGGGAGCGTGGACCGTGGTGGTGAAAAGCGGGTCTATGACTGGAGTGATATGACTTAGGTACTCTCTCCCCCTGGATCCAAGTTCAGGCTTATAAAATAAGGCGTAGGTATTTATATTCCCGCTCAACGTTTGGCAACCACATTTATGCAGTGTATGTTCTCGCTCTTTTTAAATGCAAGGTGATGCCACCAAAACGGTAAATGTATGCTCTTCTTATACGTAAGGCTGATGAGAGATTCAATTTCTTGATTGGTTCAGTATTTAGATTCCTATCCCCTAGTTTGTCAAACTGTTTTAGGGGCTCCTTAGAGGGACCCCCACTTTCCTAAAATATAGGTACTGATTTTTCACCAATCACCCACTTCATTTCGGAAGAGTCAAGTTTTTGTGTAAAGATTGTAGACTGTTTAACACTATTCCTGGCGGGGGGGGGGCCTCAGGAGCCCCCCCCCCTGAGGTTTTTTGGTTATATCTCCCAAACGCTTTGAGCTAGGAAGCTCAAATTTTCTGACTTTTTCTTAAAGGCTTTTACGCAACAGTTCTGAAAATTTTGAGTTGATCTGACCTCAGGTCAGGTCACCAGAGGCGGTTTGGTGACCCTACCTCAGAAAAGTTTGCAATCACGCCAGAGCTAGAGTTTTTGACCGATCAATTTCTTCTCTTCAGGCTTTAGTTAGGGTACCAGTATGTGCAATTTTTATGTCTCAGAATTTTCATATCTGTGACCTGAGGTCAGGCCAGACTCGTGACCTTTACATTGCAAGCCTATGGGAAAATATTGAAACGCCTCCTGCTTCGTGTAAACGAGTCAAAAACACCCAGTTCTTTCAGTATTACGGAAGATTATCTCATCGGTGATGATCCTGGTGCCGCTAATTGACAGGGGCACCGGCAAACGTCATCTGAGGTCATGTGACGTCATAAATTGTTTTTCTGTCAATAAATCACGACATGATGGTGCTAAAGACTTGTAAGTGGTACCAAACTGCTCGCCTGGTCAAGGCGCGTCGTTTGGTATGCAGCATGACCATACCCCACAACCTCATTGATGAATGACCTGACCTTGACCTCAGGTCAAATTTTAAATTGACCTGTGAAGGTCATCACATACTTATTTCGCATCGCCTCGGCGAGAACAACAAAAAATGTATTGGTTTTATGTCTCTTTGTTTCTTAGTTTAACCCTATTCCTGGCGGGCTCCGCCGGGACAAGAAACTGGCGGGGGGGGGGCCGATTCGGCCCCCCCCCCTGAGATCTCGAGAACGAAGCAAGATAGCGACAAGCGGTAAACGGCATCGGATACGCACGGCCAAGATCTACAATTTTTACAAAGGTCATTTTCAGGTCAGGTCAAAGATGACGTCACAGGGGTCGAAAAAGTCAAAATGGCGGCACTAGATATGGAGAGAGTTTTTCTCGAATAACTTTCGAATTAGTCAAGATAGGAACAAACTAAGGGCATCATCGTGATCCTCTCGTCAATCCGCATCGAATGATATATATGTTGACCTCGAAAGGTCAAGGTCAAAGGTTGACCTCAGGTCACGTGACCTCGAGGTCATCATGTATATCATTCGATGCGTCTTGACGAGCTGAACACAATGAGACCATCCACGCGTCTGTATCTTGTTCCTGTACGGAGTTATTGGCCAAAAACCTTTGGTGACCTTTGATGACGTCACATGACCTCACAGCTGCCCAACAGCAAAACAGACCTCAAGGTAGTGAAGGTTGATCGTATATGAAGTCATGTATGGTATATAGGGCCATTCCGACCCGTTTTAGTGGTAAAAACAGGGAGTTGATTTTTCCCCCATTGACTTATAATGGGGAGGTCGCGAAATTGACCTGACCTTAGGTCACCGATATCAAAATTCCGAGATATACAAATTGCACATACTGGTACCCTAACTAAACCCTGAAGAGAAGAAATTGATCGGTCAAAAACTCTAGCTCTGGCGTGATTGCAAACTTTTCTGAGGTAGCGTCACCAAACCGTCCTCTGGTGACCTGACCTGAGGTCAGATCAACTCAAAATTTTCAGACATGTTGCGTAGAAGCCTTTTAGGAAAAGTCAGAAAATTTGAGCTTCCTAGCTCAACGCGTTTGGGAGATATAACCAAAAAACCTCAGGGGGGGCTCCTGAGGCCCCCCCCGCCAGGAATAGGGTTAAAAGTTATATAGGTAACTAATTCTAAAACATTTTATCGTTGATGACCTCTGGTGACCTCAATATTGACCTTACCTGAAAATGTTTTATGTAAAAGTTGTAGATCTTTAAACGACCTATCAAACGCCGTTCGCCGTTTGTCGCTGCGATGTGTAGTTTTTGAGATCTGAAGGGGGGGGGGCCGAATCGCCCCCCCCCCCGCCAGTTTCTTGTCCCGGCGGAGCCCGCCAGGAATAGGGTTAATGGCTCCCTTTTGGCTGTCTCAGGGACCACCTCGACTACTTCTAGGGCCACGATAGCGGTATCGACAAAGTAGGCGATCGTGATCGGTAAGGGACCGTCACAGAACAATTTCTGTTGTAGTATAATAGTATTTCGCAAAACCCCCGCATTCTGCATATCATTGAAAGCATAATTTTATTTCTGAAGTTGTAGGTCGTGTAGCCACACGAATACTCCTAAAATGCACGAACAATTACAGGCACGTACAGCCCTCTGCTCATTGCGTGGTAGGTTCTAGTTGCTTCAGCGAAACCGGCCAATATCTCAAAGGCTCTGCTACCGAGTGCGCGGAAGTCCTGACGGAGGGACGCGCAATACCACACGACTTTGTTTGAACCCCTTGTTAGGACCCACCTCTCCGTGTCGCTACAATACACAGAAGTCTGTATTTTCCGTCCTAAGACTAAGTTTTTTTTGCCCCCTCCTAGAACCGTCCCTGCCATGCCTTCAATGAGCTCAGCTGACAGCCGCTTACTACGGAATGGTAGTGCGAGTTGGGTGCGTAAACAGACATGAGTCGGTGACCAGCGCAGAGGCTAAACCGGTTGTTGTTGTTGTTCGTCCTCTCGGCGTCTAGCGACGCGAAGCCTCGCGGCTTAGCATCCCTCTGCGCGCGGCCGCCATGGCCGCGATGTAACTTGTGCTCCTTGCAGTCTCTCTGGTTGGGGCGTGTATGCTTCCCGTCAGGCGGAACCGAAGCCCCATCTGCGCTGGGCACCGCAACAGAATGTGATCTGGGGTGTCGGCTTCCTCCTTACAGAGTGGGCAGAGGGCTCCGCCGCATGCTCGTTCATTGCAGGCGTCGCACTGCCGTGTGGGGCTCTTGCCGATGCGATGCAGGTATTGTTGCGACCCTGACCAGTGTCCGGCTCTCAGCTGGTGGACGTCGATAGCCGTCAGACGGTCCAGGCCAGACACTGTGGGTGGGCGCGTTGTCCCCATCAGGGTTCGGAACCAGCCTGGGGGTCGCTGCTCTCGTGTGCGAGCGTCCGCCGCTCGCGCCGCTGCTCTATGCACTGTGCGCGTGTCCACCGGTACCTGCTCTTGGGGGAGAGATGCCGCCTCCTTGGCCAGGCTGTCGGCCATCTCATTCCCAGGCAGCCCGCAGTGGGACGGGACCCATTGTAGGAGCACCTGCCGCTCTCCATTGTCGGACACCAGGGCCAGAGCGTCCCAGACAGCTCGGTTCAGCTGCGTCCTTTGCTCGGCCGGGCCACTCCGTAGGGCAGATAGAGCTGCTTGCGAGTCGGTACACAGTATGATGGGGTCCTCCTCATGATCAGTGTGGTTGCCGATGTAGTTTAGTGTCTCGCGGAGTGCCACCATCTCCGCTCGGTAACTCGAGCAGAGCTTGCCCGCTGGTGCGCGGAGCTCGTGGCTCTCCCCGTCGGGCCACTCGATATAGCCGCCCGCTCCACCGTCCAGCACTCCTCCCGTGGCGGATCCGTCCGTCCAGGCCCAGGTCGCGCACTGGGGGAGGGACGCCAGGTGCAGGGCAGCCGCCTGTCGGCGGGTCTCCGCGGACGCTCCGGAGGGGGTGTGGCTCCTATCCCCAGGTCAAAGACCACCGGGGG